TGTGATGATTTCAATAGGTAATTGAAACTTAAGGGTGAAAATTGTAGAGCCTGAAAATCGAAATGGTAAACAAACTGTGTATTGAAAGAATGCTCAGAAATTAATTGAACAAGCTGTCAATTATGTACGTAGTTTTTTGCAAATCATTTTATTGATTTTTGTATTTTTACAGAGATTCGCGGATTTTTACAATATCACTTACGAGGGGCTTGAGATATGGGCGGTACTTGTGACAGAGAAGAGATCAACGGGTCGAAAATACATGAATATGTCCATGGAACTTCTCAACGAGGTAATTTTGCGATATTATTCATTTCTGAACAACAGTCCTTTCCCACAAGTGATTTTTTCACTCTGCAATTAAGGTGGAAAGGTTGGACAAATATGTACATAACGTTAGCGTCGTCGTTGACGGTGATGTGGTTCACTTTGATGATCTACATGGTATCGAAATAAATTATGTATTTAATTGGTATAAAGTAAGTCACCCATCAAAATGCTAAAAAATTGAAAGTTATTGATTGACCCATTTTCAGTATGCATATTCATGGCAAGATTTTTTTGGAGACATAAATTTGACCTATCCTGTGGGGACAGCCATGGGACATAAATTCTTCATTGGCAGTCACTTTTTTGGCGTGAACAAGCACAAGGAATCTTTTGTAAGTTTGCTCTTACTCATATAGAAACCTCATTGATTTTCGAATTTACAGCGAGGTCCAGTCGAGCAAATGGAATTTGTGACACTTTGGTACATGAACCAGACGCCAAATATGAGAGAACGAAAACGGCTGCAAGCTTTGCAGCTGGAATTGTTCCGATTGAGCCGCTTGGATAAATTTAGCGATCTGATCAGCTTTGAAATGTACGGGGATCAGGTGAGCTCATATTTTGTTTATTATCTCACCGGCGGCGGTCCATGAGATTTTGTTCGATGGGGAGGGGGAGGGTGGGGAAGTCAAAAATTTTATTTGGTCCGATACAATTTCAACTGTTTTATGTCACAAACCCGTTTATCGAACCGCTACATAGACCATATCGAGAAGGCTGTTTTGTGTCGTACAAATTTCTCAAATTTTTCGAATCTTTCTGACTTCTTGGTGGACTGTAACCCCAAGGTTTACAAAGAGGGGGCGTAGCGGCCCAAGGTTGATTTGAATTTTCAGAAAAATCCAAAAGTTAAATGGTTTTTCACAGCTAATACAGACCGCTTGCACAATTTTATAACTCTATTTGGATTTCGAAAATTACGCAATTCATTTCCGAGAGGGGGGGGGGGGGTAGGTCACTACTGACAATGAAATGAAGTAAGCAAATAGAAGTACATATTCTAGCATCTAGCCAATATTTGTTATTTTCAGCATAGCTAAATGAAAAAACGTGACTTCACACTTCAGGAAAAATTTTACTGTTTTCATACCACGGCTTTATTTGTAAATCCACATAAATCATATTGAGAAGAAAGAATAAAGTGTTTCAATGTAAATCTTATAGGTTGCTAACGCTGAAATGCTTCGCGGGACACATTATACTGTGCGTCTTTTCGCCGTTGGTGTAGTTTTAATGATAGCTTTTATGGCGTTTGCTTTCAATCATCTCATTCTAAGATCTCAGGTGGGACTCATTTTTACAGTTTTTAATTCCACAATGAAAAAGTAGATGCAGGTAATTTTGATCTTGGCTGCTGTCGGGTCACCAGCCA